GTAATGCGTTATGTTACTTTTGCGTTACTTTTTAAATCTGGGCAGGGCTTGCTTGTTTGTTTTTAAAATAAAAAAGTTCTATTTTTGGCAAATATAAAAGCCTTTCACACCAAAAGTGAAATGAATAAGCCTCAGGCTGAAGGGAAAGTAAATTTACGTCCGTACAGTAGAATGCAGAAGAAGAAATTTCAACACACTTATGTACGGTTGAACTGGATCATCGAAGGTCAGAAGTAAAGTCAAGTCAAGTCAAGTCACCTTTATTTATATAGCGCTTTTAACAATACAGATTGTGTCAAAGCAACTGAACAGCATTAATTAGGAAAATTGTGTGTCAATGATGCAAAATGACAATAGTAAACACTAATTTTTCAGTTAAAGACAGTTTAAACTGGAAAAAAAAAAGTAACTCGCGTTACTTATTTGAAAAAAGTAACTCAGATATTCTCTTGTAAATTAAAAAGTAATGCGTTACTTTACTAGTTACTTGAAAAAAGTAATCTGATTACGTAACTCGCGTTACTTGTAATGCGTTACCCCCAACACTGCTTATCAGTGAACTACATCTCTGTGTGTTAAATGCCGCTCCATCTGAAAGCAATACTCACTTCAAAATGGCAGCAGGGATTCCCCCGAGGGGAAGTGCTAAGAAGAGTTTGTGAGTGTGTGTCTAAAAGTGGAGTGCAATGCAGACAAGTTTGGATCCACATCTAGGGGGTGGAGATGGGTAGGTTTAGGGATATGTAAGGTGGGAGGAGGCCCCCTGGATCTTGTGTATTCGCTAGTATTAGCGTAAATTTAACTTATTTTGTTTCTCTGGAACATGTCTGAATCTTCTGCTTTTTAAATGAGTACTAAATTAATAAATATGATATTAAAAGAATTCACATCACCCTGTTGAAAAAGATTAAATGAAATGTTTGAAAATATTAGGACATTCAAAGGTTTAAATAATCTAACCTTCAATTATTATTTTTCATAAATCTTAAGTAATATTTACCTCCAGTTTACATAAAGTTTTGAAAGTTTGTGTTTTGATCAATTTGGCCTTATGTATAAAGAATTCTGCAAGAATTAATATATTGTTTATAATATCATCATCCATCCTTAATTTTTCAAAATATATATATTTAATTTCTAACAAAGGCCCATGAATAAATTTAATGCACACAAAGACCTCCTTGGTGTCACTTCACTTTCACATCTTCTTGAGCAAATACACACAATATTATGTCACAACGGCTGTCTTGACGAGTATCCAAGTAAACACAGTCGATTATGTCTTAAATAAACATAAAGAGTTAAGAAAGCATTGGATGTGTGTCAGTATAATGGATCCATGGCTTTCTTATACTAGGCTTATAATGTTAATCAAACTACAAAAGAAAACAGAGAATCACTTACTGCTCATAAGTAACTTCTGTAACGTTAGTAGGTAATTGTGTCTGTTTACTCCATACAACACAGTTTCCATAAGCACTAAAATGCTGTTTATTTAGGTAAATTGTATCTTTGTATCTAGCGGTCTCTCTGAGGGCTAAGCCCCTGTGAAGGACGCTTAGAAGAAACTCACCAAGAAAACCCTGACCTGGCAACATCTGGACATCTAAAAGTGTCCTTGCCTTGGTGTGAGGGATCTTTTCATGAGAGCAACACCAAAGTTACCAATATAGTGCTTAGCTGGCAAAATACATCGCCAGGTTGCAGAGATGTTCTCAAAGATGAGGGAAAATAACTATTAAAAACTAATGTCATCATCACTCCCCTAGATTAATGAATGATTAATGTAGTCTATGTGCTTGAAAAGCACTGATATCAAGCCCCCTTTCACCCAGATGTAAGTATTTAGTTATTTTAAATATTTTATTATATGAAGATCAAGAAACTTGAATTTAGCTTGCATTTAGATATAAGCCTGAAGCTTTTGAAAAAAATATCAGTGGTATTGATAGCTCTGGGAATCTGTGATTTATCCTTTGAATCAATCCTTTATCTTGTCATTTGAAGGTCTTTTTTTGTATGTGAATTTCTTTTATTTTTTTTACCGTCTGAACGGGACTTTTATTTTGGTGAAGCGGCTTGACGTCATAAGGCTGCGCCGCACTCCTGCATCTGAGATTCTGCTGAAGAAAGGTTTGTTTACATTTATCAGATGCTTTTATCAAAAGTGACTTACAAATGAGAGCATTCAAATCAACTCACAATTGTTTGTACTCTTTCAGAGATGAACCATGGTTTTACCACAGCATTTGCAGTAAATCCATAGTAAAAACTAAATCAACCATAGTTTTACTACAATAACTATGGTTTAACCACGACTGTTGCAGTAAAACCATATAAGCACAAAAATAACCATTACTACAGCATTTGCAGTAAAACCATAGTAACTACAAAATTGACCACGATTTCAAGAACTACACTATAGTCATGGTTACCACATGTTTACTGTAGTATTACTACAAAATAACTATAGCAGAACCATGACACCAGAACCATGGTATGAACCAAAAAAAAAACCTTGGTTACTACACTTATGGTTGCTACAGTTTTACTATAGTAAAAGCATGGTTAAGTGTTGTATAAATATAAGCACCTTTCACAATAGAGGTGACTAAGACTCGCTGGGTAAGACCATCTTCTGGCAACAAAGTAATGTCCACATGACAGCAGCTCAAAGATAATATAAGTCGTGTTCAGTACTAGTAATTATTTATTTTTATTGCCACGTCAGAATCTAACACTATCTTCATGGCAAAAACTCAGTTACAATAATACAAGAGTTACATAAACAGTACTGTACATTTAGTTCTGGAACTAAAGCGGTGCGAAAGGCCCTAATGTAGTTCCCTGCCTCTGCCTGGACAAGGGATATTACCCTTGTCTTAAAACTTAGTTTATAATATCACATTATTTTAAATAGATATGTAAAAAATATTTATTATAACGCAACTGAGCAGACAGCCCCGATTTAATCTCTGATATTGAACTGTAAATTCCATTATCTTTACAATTAGTTTAGATTTCTTGAGCACTTACCTTGAGTATTGGCATGCTGAACCTCAACGTGCCCGATCAGGATGTTAACTGGTTTTCCCATTCTGATTAGCCGTGCATAAATAATCTGGCACTCCTTCATAGACACATCTGGGTCTCCATCAATCATGAACGATATAAATGGGGCTGAGGCAAGTTCATGCGCTCTTGCTTTTCATTGTGTCTGCAATGACACCGATGAATTGAG